CTTCCTAGTTTAGGGGCCTGGCAATGAATCTCATCCATCAGCTTCCAGGGAAAACTTTTGCAACAAGATTATTCATACCTTTGGAAATATAATGAGCTTTCAGTTTTTAGGTTGAATAGCAAAGAAAACACTGAAAGGCTAAAGCTACAAAAATAGGGCCAAGTCTCTTCTCAAGATCATTCATGCCACGCCTAGGTTTCCTGGAACATCCAGCCACAGCAAAGGCGCATGATTCACAGCTAAGTTGTTGGAAACTGTGCATGGTGGCCGTTCCCCCCAGAGCTCTAAGGTGATGTCTGGCAGGGACTTCTTGCAGCTGCAGGGAAGAGTTTGTTTTCTGGAAAGGCTTGGACCATTTTCTTGGGTCATACAAAAGGGCTCTGGCATAATACTAAAAGGTACATACAGTTCAGACTAAAGACATGTCACAAAAAGGAGCCAGAGGAACTTGAGAAGTCAAGGAAAAATCGTCCTAGTTTTACTTATTAATGCTGAAGGTCCCTAGCAGAAATTCCTTGTTCTAAGAAACACTTTGGGACCCACAGCCGCCATACTGGACAACTTCAGGGGCAGCATCTACATTTTGTCCTCAAGGGGGCACCATTCACATAGAATACAATGTAAATGCTGTGTCAAACTTTCGTGCAACAGGACCTTGCTGGGACCAAAATCTGCCAGAGTCAAATATCTAGTCACAAACAAAGCCTCAGTTTCTCACTGTAGCTTTCTTATCAACTTCTTCCACAAACAAACCAAAAAACAAATAAAACATTTTAGAGTCCCAGCCAAAATTTCTGGAGGGACATTAGATGATTTAATGTTTCCAGATGTGCGCCATTTAAAATCCTAAGTGTGCAGTGGATATGATGTATTTATGAGGAATGTAGAGTTGTAGTTAAAATGCATTGTTGATGATTTATTTTCCTTCTTTCCCACTTAATTTAGGTCTAATAATTCCAAGTACCTGTTACATTCAAAGAATCTCAGGAAAAATATAAAGGAAAAGAAAATGGTACTTTACTTTCATATAAATTCCAAAGTCATCTCTCTGCCTCAGGCTCTGAAGATAAAAGACAGCAGCTGAGTAATTCAGGCAGTAGGTCTGGTGGCTGTGACGCAGTCCTCCTCGGAAATACTGCCAAAGGAGAAAGGCAGAAGAAGAATCAATGGAAGCAAAGAGCACAGACAGACTTTCTCTTTCTCTTACCTTTTTATCAGTAACTACAATAGGGAAAGTGAAGGAGGCACCATTATTAAGTAGGAGCTAGGACTGAATAGATAGATACAGGCAATCTTCACAATAAACCGTCTTTAAAACAAACTAATATTCCCATAACAGTTAACTCCTCAATAAGGGGCCTTTTTTTTGTGTGCCATACTTAAAGAAAATTCTATTCAGGACATCCTGATTTAACTCACCCTTAACCTGAGTTTATGCTTTGTTGAAACCTACTCATGCTGCCTGGTACCTGATAACAAATACTACCTTTGATTTCACTGCTCATGTTGTTGATGTTAAGCTTGTGTTCATAGTAAGTGATTAAAGTAACATTATCTAACTTTTCATCAAATCCTGTTCAAAAATATCCACAAGCTTAATTCTCCTGCTGACTTCTAAAAATGCAGAGTCAAATTTGGGGCATCTCTACTAAATGTACTAGGTTTAGTAGCATACATTTTATGTACTAGTCTTACCCAATGTAACACCTGTATTCCCCTTCTTTCATTGTTCTTATTTAATGTCTTAAACTTGTTATAATGACTATATATTCTTAAGTCACACCAAATTTATTTCAGAATAAGGCAAGTGGCTTACTTGAATGTATATATTCGTATGTATTATGGTCAAACTGAGCACACTGCACAAAAATGTCTTTCTTGGAAATGACAGTTATTCTCTTCTCTTCATCAATGCTTCTGGCTCCTGACTGGCAGACACTCTCTTTAGGATTCCATAGTGCTTAACCATGTTGCTAAGCCTATTTGTGCCTTTTGATAGGTTGGTTAATTAATATAATGAGTAATGGGTCCCACTAAGAAATTTCCAAGTGTCATGATGTGGTAAATGGGAGAAGGAAGACATACTTGCTGGTCATGTAACTGCAGCGAGTAGAGACAGCAGACCCAGCCTAACAAACCAGTATAGTAAGTGACAGTAGTAGAAGCAGAGATTATGAAAACCCAGAAAAATATTTTGTTACAGGACCTTAGAAGACAAAATGCTATGGAGAGAGATGTCAAGTTTTGTCTTCAGGAAGAAGTAATTTGAAAGCTGATGATGTGAAAAGTTTATTTTTGCTGGGGGCTTTTGGGGATAGCTGGGGCTCTGGAGAGAAAGAGGTCACCGAGATGCTTTAGAAATACCATTATTAGAAGGCCACTGTGAAGACCATAAATAGTCAGGCTTAGAAATCCAGTTCTACAACCCACTGGCTATGTGACCTTGGCCAAATGATTTAACTTCTCCAAGCCTGTTTCCTTCTCAGTGACTTCTCAGATGGCTTATGTGTGAATAATGAATGTCCCAATCTTCCCCTGGTGAACTTATGAGATACCGTGGTAAACTGTATCACTGCCCATCTAATTCCTTTTCCTGGGAAGGATTATAGTATCTACTCCACTGAGGGTAAGCTTGGCATGTGACTTTCTTAGGCCCTGCCCCAGTCTCAAGTCATTGCCCTGGGGACTGGTAGCATTCCAGGTGGTGGCTGCTCCCTCAGCATGGGTCCCACAGTAAGCACAACAACAAAGTAGGAGCAGAGAGTAAGTGAGATATGAATTAAGCTACTGAGATTTGGAGTTTGTTCCTCTGTTACAACTGAATTTAACCTGACTGAAACAGAGATTTTTAAATTTAGGAAAAACTTTTATAACCCATCTTTGTACATCTGTAACATAATAGGAAGCATTCATATGTGAGTTATATTATAGACTTTGAGTAAAGAGTCTATGCTTTACTAGGCTATAAGTGCACTTATGCTATGGTCTGAATATTTGTGTCCCTCTCAAGTTCATACGTTGAATTCTAATCCCCAATGTGATGGCCCTAGGAGGTATGTCCTTCAGGAGATGATTAGGTCTTAAAGATAGGTCCCCTCATGAATGAGATTAATGCCCAGAGAGCTCTCTTGCCCCTTTTGCTATGTGATGGATACAATAAGTCTGCAACTGGAAGAGGGACCTCACTTAACCAGGCTGCCACCCTGACCTTGGACTTACAGACTCCCGAACTGTGAGAAATTGATTTCTGTTGTTTCAAGCTACCCAGTCTGTGGCACTTCGTTATAGCAGCCTGAGCAGACTAAGACAACTTCTGTGCTTTGATGAGGAGTTAATATTTCTCCAGACTATTTACTATAAACTAAATTAAAAATAATTTGACTCTAAAGGAACTGAGAGATTCTGAGATTTTAATTAATTCTCAACACTACATTCTTTCCCTTGTTCTTCAAAGCTTTTCTTATTCTGTTTTCAAAGTTCATTAAGGGAATCTCCATACTTTATACCTCATTTTCTGCTTGTTTTGCCTTGATAAATAACTCCTCCTTGTTCACATATCACCTCAAGCATCACTGCCCCAGGAAAAATCTCCTATCTATAACTACCTCACCATTGGCCCCAACTTAGAAGCTGTCCTTCATAATATATATATGCTCCTTTTTTCCCCAGGACTGACCTCAATTTGATGATATCATTAGTGTCATTATTGGATTAATTTCTCCCTCAATAACTGAAAACTCCCCCAAAGCAGGAGGTGTGTCGAATTTTGCACATTATTGTGTACAGGGTATCAGCCCCACACATAAGCACTTAGTAAGTGCTCTATAAACCTCAATCTATGTTTTTTAATGGACTGTAACAATTTAAATTTTGCTAAATGAGAATAGACAGGGATTAGATTAAAAAGCTCAAAGGAGGGGAAGAGGTTCAAATATCTACTTATGAAAAAAAATTGCATTTATCAAACCAGGGGTACAAGTTTTCCTCCTCTCTCCTCCTTTCGTACACAGAAGTCTTATTAAAGGTCTTGATGGATTTGAAGGCTTATTTTGTTCCTTTCAGAGAGCCCGGCACTTTTGTTAGAAGAACAACTGAACCATGTAATTAGCCTACACAAACTATTGCCATGAATATTGCTTTAAATTGAAGTGATTTGAAAAACAGACATGGAAATGGCTTTTCCATGCATGCAGATTTTTGTGTTAATAAAACCCACAAAGGAGAGGTGATAATGTAAAAACAGAATCTGCAAGTTATTTTTGAAAATGCTGACTGGCGGAGAAAGGGAGGGCCCCCTTGTGGGAGGGTGCTGGCGGAGCTTTCCCAGGAACAACAACAACAACAACCACGAACAAGTGGACATAAATAATGTCCTATCCTGACATGTGGGTTAATTTATCATACGAAGCTGAGATTTCCCAGAAGGATTTTACCTTTGTGAGCATGGAAATGAAATCCAACAATGGTGAAGTCTCGCAAGCGTCAACATAGTCCTTGATGATGCTGAAAAGACTGTTCACAAAACCGAAGCTTGTCTAGGGCCAGGGAGAAAGCAAACAAGAGCAGGCACACTTTCAGAGGTAAGAAATAAAAATCTGATGAACTTCAAATGTCATTCCTACAGGTGTTTCCCATTTCAAATTTATCTCCTGGAAAAATTCAAAGACTTACTTTCCTCCACTCTCCAATATGTATTTTAAGTTTTCCTTGTGAATGAATTCTTGTTGATGTATCTCCCTTTTTAGAGGAAAGATATCATTTATTTTTAATACTTGTGAAAAAGAACATTCATTGGAGAATAGACATTTATGAAGATGATGATCTCAGGAATATGTTTTCTGCATTCATTTTTTATTGAGGAAATTCATGTATTCGTGTATTTAACATTACTTACTGAGTCCTCTCTTGCACTAGGTGCTGTCGAGGTCCTCTCGATACGGCAGTGAACAAGATGGGGTCCTGAGTATATTTCAGAAGGTGTTGCAGAGCTTGTATTCTTGAAAAATATGGAACACTTCCTGAATTCACGTGTCATTCTCGCACAGGGACCCTGCTAAGCTCTGTACTGTCCCTATTTTAGTACATGTGCTGCTGAAGTGAGCACTGTATTTACTTTCTTAAGTAGCTATGGAAAAATTTTAAAAATGTTACAGAAGGTTAACTAACAACTGTAATCTATTGGAAAGACATCAATGGATGTTTAGATTTCCTTTTTATTAAACTGAACTCTTGACCATAAGATTATATGGGGAAAGAATATGGAAGAAACCATATTCCACTATGGAATATAAGCCACAAGAACAGACTAAGTACGAAGTTTCATGATCCTCTGGTGAATTTTAAAACATGGCTACTGGAATCGTCCTACTTTGGCTCACCTGACTTAACTCCTCCAGGTTTGCAAAAAGTCTCCATAACTCCACAGCCAGGAGATATTCATGAGCTTTTAGATGTTTTAATGTATTCATGAAGATCTTTAAAAAAAATAAGTGCACATTACTTTGTTTTTCAATTCTGATATCTGCCCTCTGCAAGAACATTAAACATACACCTCCTGAGTATAATTTTACAGAACAATTTAGAGACCAGTATTTTCAGTGGTTAACAATTGTGCTAAATACAAATGACATTTAAGCTCCATAGAACATATGGGAAATGTGCTTTTCTGCATGAAGTCGTCGCTTGTAAGCCCTAACAACATTCCTGTTGAACATAATCTGTTCAAATGGGCTTTTTCTGCCTCCCAGTGCCAAAGAAATCTCCAAGGTTCTCTTTTTGCCAACAGCACTTACTTGAGACCAAAACAACATTCATACTGAATTCTCATTTATTCCTTCCTCTAAAAAGACCCAAATGTTCTTTATTTTCAGGAGATTAACAATAGAGAACTAATGAGTTATTATCTGGTAACTGATAAAATGTTTAGATTTAGGTAAAGACATTAAATGTTAATGAAAACATTAAGGGAGGCTTTATGTGTTACTTGTTTTGATGCCTTCCTATAGTAGGAAAACTACAGCAAGTCCAGAGAGAACTATAATCCTCACAGATATCTGCCCCTCACTCTATCAACTAAAGAGAGATCAATTTATTGAAATAGGAATACTTCTTACAAATATGATGAAGCATTCAAAGGGTCTATTTCAAGAATTATAGGTGTGAAAACACTGGACTTCAGACTACCAAATTAATTCTCCTATTCCCATTTCCATATTACTTAATGCAGTGAATGGTTCTCTAACTGGCATCAGAATCATGTAGATGCCTTGTTAAACAAGAGATTAGGGGGCTCCACCCCAAACCTTTCTGATTCAGTAGGTCTTGGATGGGGTCTGAGAATATGCATTTCTAACAAGTTTCCAAGTGATTCTGATGCTGCTGGTCTGGGGACCACATTTTGCGAACCACTGACTTACAGCTTCTGCTAATCCAGACAGTATCAGCTGTCTGGAAATCAGTCAGTGTCCAAGCATTTAAAACATATAATTGTAAGAAACAGAAATCATTACTTCAGATAAATGGGGAAAATTTAGAAGAAATTGTCTTTTTTTGCTATAAGATTCTTTGCTTTACAGAAAATTTTTGCCATTTGAAGAATACTGAGTCTTTCAGTATATTTATTACCTGCGTTACAAAATCTCCATTTACAAGAAACTTTGAGAAACTCATATCGACTGTGTAAAGGGAAGTACTTGTATACTCTAAGTACACTGGGGCATTCAAAAACAAACTCAAATTGGCCTTTTTTAAAACAGAAAATGCTAGTTTAAAAAGTTTGTGTAGTTTATAGTGGGATAGGAAGTTCTGTCCTGTTTATTAGGGTGAGAGAGTTAGTAGAGCTTGGGGGGTTAGTGCTCTGCAGTGAATATCTGCCAGTTACCACCCAGCTTCAATGCTTCCCTTCCCTAACATCATCCTAGTTTTCATCTCAGTACCTACTCTTTCTCATGTCTTGAATGTGACTGCCTTAGGCCAGTTAGCACTTTCCTTCCTTTTCAGGGCAGCTGATTCAGAAGAGGATATGTGACTTAAGCCAATCCAATCAGAATGAAAATCAAGACTGGTTGTGAATGCTAAGAGATTCTCTCTATATATCATATATATTTCTTTCTCTACAGGGCCTCAAGGACAGCAGCCATTCTTTGTCTACAACAGAAGCTACACAGAGGATGAAGCTGGTACCATGGAAGGCAGGGATGGTAGATGAAATTTTGTTCCTTGGCTTTGAGCCCCTTGATCAAACCAATCTTGAATGCTCTCCCACCTTTGGACTTAAATCACATGGGTCAGTCAGATCCTGTCTTACTTAAGCTAGTTTTCTGTATCTTAACAGTCTCTGTGTTTTAACTTTCTGAGTGTTTCTGTGGTTTAAATTTTGCTGGTAAAGTACTTAGCACTATGATGGACACAACAAATATTACAGAAAGTAACTAACATTTGTATAGCACTTGATAGATTTCAAAGGACACTAATCTGATTATCACAATAGTCAGATGTTATGAGACAGTCAGAGATGGTACTGTCATCCCTCTTTTATAGCTTAGAACAGAAATTGTCTAATGACAGCCTGTGGGATAAATCAGACCTGCTACTTGCTTTGGTAAATAAGATTTTACTGTAACACAGCCATATGCATTTCTTTACAAATAATCTATGGCTTCTTTTGCATGCAGTGGAAGAGTGGAGTAATTGCAATAAAGACCACATGACCCTCAAAGCTGAAAATATTTATCCTCTGGACCTTTACAGAAACCACATGCCAACCTCTGTTTTACAAAATGGAAGACTAGACTTTCCTAAGTTCATATAACAAGTCAGAGGCAGATCTAGGACTTGAACTCACGTCTCCCAAAACAGTGTCTTTTCCTGTATAAGGGAGTACCCAGGATTCAAAAGTGCTCATGGGCAGAGGCAGCCTTGGGAACAATGCGGCTTATCTTCCTCTGCAGTCTTGGAAGGCATCTGCTCCTTTCCTATCCCTTCCCCTGTGGTTCTTCTAGAAGGAGTTCTTTGCTCAGAGCCTGCCCAGAGCAGGGCTGCAGGACTGCACAACCCCAGGGGCACCACTTACACAGCAGAAGTCAGGAATACAATGTGTAATCCAACTCTGCTGTGTTACATGTGGATGGTGCCCTGAAAATCTGTGACTGTGGCCCTGCACCTGATAACTGCGTAAATACAAGGTGAGAATAAGGCAGAAGAAACTCAGATATCGCATGGGGAACTAGACTAGCTAACATAGAAGGTCACAACCAATTCTGAGAGGTTATGTTTAAGAAAAGACTGAACAGACAACCAAGCTGTAGATAATCAAAAATGAACAAATAAAATTTCCTTACGATCCTCTGAAAGAGGGGAAACTCCTCCCCTCAACTTCCTTTTTTCAGCATGGAAGAAAGAAACAAGTCCCCAAAGAACAATATTAATGTTTTCCATCTACTACAAAGATTAAAGCCAGCATTACCATCTTAAGAACTAATAAATGGTCCAAGAAATAAGTGCATTTGCTCGTGAAGAGTTCCACATGGCCTCTTGCTGCTTTCTCAGGTCTAACTGATTAGTAGGAAGTTTTTGATGTGTTTCCACAACTTCATTCCAGGTCTTATCCTGTACACGGGAGAAGAGAGAGAACAAAACATTTCCACCTCAGTGGGTTGACCTGTTCACCCTTTGCTTTGATTTGTAGTACAGCAGGAACAAGCAATCCCCCAAATCATGATTTCCCACTGCAAGCCCCAAGCATAAAGGCGCCTCAAGTTATCCAAACTACAGTTCTCTGTGTGGCTTTGGGATGCCAATTTCTCCCATGCATGGGATGCACGGTACATGTTATTTTTAGTTTAAAATGAAAGGGAATTCAAATTGATGTTGTTTTGAATTATGTTTGAAAATTTCATGAATCTTTTTAAGTTTATTGAAAAAAACAAAACAAAACAAAACCCAAACCACTAAAAGAACCCCAAATCCAGAACTGGGAAGTCTGATCCAGGTTCTACTGGAAAAACTTGTTGAAATTAACTACTGAAGGATTATGAAATAAGAGTTTTAAAGGTTAAAGAGATCTTTAGAAATTGTCTTATCAAAACCAACTCATCTTTCAAAAGAGGAAATTAAGACCCAGAGAGGGGAACAGTTGTAGCAAACCATTAACATTTGTACAGGACTTCAAGGTCTGACCATTATCTTATTTAAGATAGAATGACTTTCCTGAGGTTTCAGTGTGCTTTAGAGACAGCAGACCCCATTCTACCAGGCCTGGGTTCCTCTCCTGCACTTTGCTGCTATTATGAACAAGGAGATAACCTGACAACTTAAAATGACCAAAAAAACACAAAGAAGCCACGTCACACAGAAAACAACATCTGAGACACCTTCAGGCTGCGGAGTTCACAGCCCCTGAGGTCTGTAATCAGATCAGATATGTGTTTCTGTTTGTCTTTGCTCTATTTAAAGATTATTAGAAACAGGATTTACAAACATAACTTTTTGGGTGACATGTCTTTGGTGGTAGCTTCAGCATCTTTTGTTCACTGCCCAACATGCATGAGAACAGACTGCGTATTTTGCCTATGAGCCACTAACAGGTTTAAAAAAAAATTTCTGAGCCACAGTCTGATCCACAGGACCACAGAATGTCAGACAGAAAGCAGAGAGGCCAGCAAAAATGTCTGATCCAAACCTCTGATTTTAATAGTGGAAAAAACCCAGGGCTCATAACTGTTACACAGCTAATAGATGGATTTCAGCCTAATGTGCACCTTGCAGTCCTAGTGTCCTTCACATTCTAACTTTTCCAAATGTTGTCTCACAGGACTTTACCATCAGAAGGGGTCTTAGATGTCTTAGTTCAACTCTTCACTTAGCAGATGACTAAATAAAGCCCAGAGTGTTAAAGGAACTTCCCAACATGATAATTCTCTGCTACAGAATACCAGAATATGCTAGAAATTTTAGTTTCTTTAGGATGGAACCACCAACATATTCCTGTCATAATTTTCATTTTAAGTAATATTAGTTTAAAAATAGGATTACAAAGGTAATATATGGTTATTGTAGAAAATTTGAGAAACAAAATCAGTCTGTAATCTCTACCCTACCCCCAGA